CTGCAAATTTCTGCCAGCAGCTCTCCGTCTCGCTCTACCACTCTCAAGAAGTCGTTCCAGTCAACTGCCGTCTCTATCCCCCTCTCCTGTAGTGAAGCAGTTATCGCTTTCCCAGAACTCAGGTGGGTCCCCGCACCTTTCCTTACTATCTCTAGCGCCTCACACGCCTTTTCAGTATGACCCGCTACTGATTTCTCTAACACCTCTCTATGTTTCGCCGCGACTCGAGCCCCCTTAGATCACTTTTGATCCTTGGGCCTATCTCTCTCACCGGCTCAATCGCCTTTGCTATCTCCTCTCTTAGCATAGTAACTATCTCTTTACTAGCGATGACGGTACTCATATCATTTGCCTCGGTGGCGTCCATCTCCTTGGTCATCGATCTCGCCACCTCCACGGATTCAACAGTCTCTGCTCTGCTACAGTGCAGTCAACCATTTGACTACACTGTAGCAGGCGCCTTTCTCGCTATTCGGCGTCTCAGTGCTTCCTGGACGGGTTACGGTATACACCTCAGTTGGATCTGTGGTTTGGCTTGGCCCTCATGTAGTGTGGAGCCCCGATGTTATCACAGATACCTCTGCGGTAAACACCAGTACCGGAATTATTTACTAGAAAAACAGCAACAAGATTAGGTGAATGATGAGTTAGAGAATAATAGAACAGGTGAGTAGTGGCGAAGAGTCGGCGAAGTCGACGAAGTCCTCAATTGCTTCGGCCCGGCACTGACGACGTTGAGTGGAACTGTCCTTCTGGAGTGCGGCCCCCTTAGGGTCCTTCTGACCCTTTTGACCCGCGCCGAGGTGGTCGCAAGGCCTCGGCCTGCGATCCCCTGACCTCCACATACAATCAATAGCAAGGTAGTCAAGAAGTTGACGAATACAATGAATATAATGTCTCTCTCTTGGCTTGACTGACTTCGATTTGCAGGCACCCTTATGACAATAACTGATCTACGACGCTCAACTTAATCACCCGACAAACTTTGGCTGACCTTATCACGGGACTTTTCCGAGGACTAAACATCATGAGATGAATTTCTACTATTCGGACAGCAATCTGAAGCTATCAAGACACTTCTGGGGCACTAAATTCTCTTCCTCCAACACTCAGTTACGGTAGTAATCTACCGAAAACTCGTTATCGAGTGTGGTGAGGTGCTCGCAGTTATGCAGAACAGCAAACGACGTGTGTGCGAGGGAACCACATTGGAAACCACGAATTTCGCCAGGCTAATTGCAAAACTTCCCCGTATTCGTTATCCATCTTACCACCATGAAAGTGGCAGCATGCATCATTGTCACTCATTAAACGTTGCTGATGCTCTGGCCTCGCAGAACAAGCGAGGAACTGATTATGAACAACAGCCACGGAACAGGGGCTATGTTCGGTTCATATTACGACTTCTAAGACAACATGAACGAATACAACTGTCTTACTATCCAGCAAGACGTAATTTCTCAAAACCTAGAAAGGTGGTCCACAGCGATTAAACATCCCTATGATTACCAGACATGGACTGATAACACGTGAGTACTTGTATTGTTCCACCGGCTTCACTCACCTCCTTACACTTGCTTTTCCTGCTAATAGGGTACATTTTGCTTAACTTCTTCGGCGTATAGAAAAACACTTCGAGGTGAGAGGGACTCAGTCTATGAAAAAAGACCAGAAAGAACAACAATTCGGCGGGAATCGTTGACATGTATGCGAACCCAGTTCCTTCCCTGTCCCTACCCACACACACTCTCCACAGACTTCTGTCGCTCTACCGCTCTCCCTCTCCATTGTATATCGCTACGATCCCAACCATACTCTGTAATTCTTCTGACAACGGCTGCATAAAACCACCTAACTGGCAGTACAGGGGTGGCCACCTTCGCTAAAAGAAGTGCTTTAGGGGACTTTTCACCGCGCATAACAGCGACCGCCCGCGTCTCTCCACCCTGCGTTATCTCTCCTTGCCTTTCCATCCGCGTTTGGGAGTTCACGCTTCAACGCATGAAAACCATGTAGATCTTGGTAACGACGACATAAGCGGGACCATTTCTACTCAAGACCTTGCAAATAGGCTTTTTGGGTGGCCGAAAAGCATCCAGCGACATGTTTGGGGAAAAGCATACCTCAAACTTATTGCGAGCTGGTGATTACGTACTAACTCCCACTTCGAGCCACATTACTGCTGTCTCTGATCTCTTCCAACATAGATTCCATTTGATTCCTACTATCCAGCAGAAACGTTAGCACTTTACGGACATGAAGTGGAATTTGTCATTTGTTACGTCCTTTACCAAATCGCTGGCTGCCTGTATGAAGTCGGGCAATGACGGTATATCGAAATCTAAACGCCATTTCTTTTGACTCCTCCTGGATTTTGGCCGGAAAACAGGGGTCTGAATTATCATAACCTTTATGCAGAAATACAATTATAGCGGTGGCTATTGATAACAAAACAAAAAAATAAGAGCTACAAGCCACCAGGAGCAAAGCAACGAATAAAAGAGTCAAATGATCGGTAATGCAGACGAAAAATCGATACAAAGCGTGTTTCTTCTGTTCTCGTACCTTGCCATAATGGTACTCTCCAACAGCGGTGAGCATAAATAACTGATAGTAGACGAGGGGCCAAAACAAAAGTCCAGAACGAGCTACAGGAATACCAGAGACAGATGGCAAAATACCAACATGTAATAATAATCTTCTATATATCCACGTCAACCAGTAAACCACACACCATCGGACGAGACCGTCGGTATGGTGATTATCCGCATGGTAGCAGCAATAGAAGTAGAAGACAAGGGGAGTTCAGGAATCTTCTAGAATATCTCAGAGAATATCAGCAGTCAGAGGACGGTCAAGTTTGGTCGTTTCTTAAATAAAAGGGGTGTCATACTAATGAGCATTTCCGTATTAAGGGGTAAAAGTAGTAAATTCACGTTAAATGGTTCACCTGGGTGACGGCCACTGTTTCTGTCAGAGTGGAAATGGCCGAGTGAAGAGCACTGAGCTCATCAGCAACGTTACGTTCGGGTACCGGTTGTGCTTCAGGGATGTTGTTGTCGTAAAATAGACCTTCTTCTTCATCTTCTGGGGGTTGGTAATCGGTGTCGTCAAGACCTTCGAGAGATTGTTCATAGTGTTGATGAGGATTTTCTTGATTAATGTCATCAAGTTCCAACTCTTCTTAAGTTTAAGCTTAATCTAGTTTTCTCCTGTTGAAGTACAAATCAACTTCACAGTATTTATTGTTCGATGTGGTAACTATTCATGTCACAGCAAGCATATCAGTTCGGGCCGTGTACATTGTCCCTTCTTCTGAGGAGTTCATTCTCTTGAAGCTCGATTGCTCGGTACAGAATTCTTTCAAGTGCCTCCAGTCGTCGGTCGATGCCCCGGCATAAAATTAGAGCGGTACGCATTGTTCTCATTAGACGCCGAGTCTCTTTGAACAGCGCCTCTTTCGCCTCGTCTCTCTCTTGAAAACGGTCTCTGTATTCGTAGCGTTCTTCATGGGCCCTGGACACCGTGGCGTACGTCCTTTGTTCGCATCGTGCGACTCTTTCTTCTAAATCGTAAAGACGATTCATGATTTCTGCCATTGCATCCAGTTGTGCTTGGATGGTCGCGAGGAGGCGCTCGTACTCCTCGCGGGTGAGGGACACTACATTATCGCGTTCCATGTCTAAAGAGGGAGGAGTTAATTAGCAGGTGGTAAAGTAGTGTAGTATAACATATATTATAACATATATTATGAATGTGAATAAATGTGACTGTATTACACAGCGCAATGGCTACGCTTCTCATGGATGTTTACTTAATGCCTTCGCCGGGGTTGTAATCTTAATGGATTGATGCGGTTTACTAGGTTTGCGAGTGTACCCTTACTCTTAATATTTACCCTTATATTAGGTGTAATAAAACTGCTCGGAGCGCCTCTTCATAGAGCTATGTTACATGTAAAATTTCAGTGTAAGGTGAAGATGGTTCATGAAATTAGTTTATTGTCAAACGAAAGTCTTAAAGAATATTGCATTACAAAGAAAGGTAGTATTCATGCCAAGGGCAAAATACGTACACAAGTTTATTATGACTGTTGTCGTTGTGCGGAGTGTCATGACCCTCGGTCATGATATCGAGGAGACACCCCTAGCACCATTGGTGCCTGCGTCTCTGTTATCGATCGGCTCATGCAGGCCGCCCTGGGGGCGGGACTTGTACCGCCCAAAACCGGTTTGGCCGTACCGCCCCTTTTCGAGCCAATAAATACCGGTCCAGAGGGGAGCTAGGCTTCAGTTCTACACTTCGTCTTCCGCGAGCGGCGGGGCTTCTCTCTTAAGCTCTCTCTCCTCTCTGACACAATACTACTTACAGTTAACCTCGCATGTCGAGGATATACTACAGGCCGGTGGACCCGCGGCGAGCATCTAATCGATCAACACTACGGTAACATACAAGCCACACTACGCCACGAACGACTCACGTACAGCAAGACTCAGTACCACCATACTATATCCTCTTTGTAGTCGTAGTTATTGTATCTCTGTCGTATTATTATTTGTGTAGATAAAGATTAGAAGTCAGAACTGTTGCCACATCTCTGCCATGGAACCACTAAAACCTCATTGGGCCGTGATGCAGTCCAAACAGTGTGCATTTGCGACCCATGCATCCTAGTCATCATGACCAAGGGTCATGACACTCCGCACGACCAGAGAAGTTTAGAAATTGCAAGTACATAAATGCCGTTTGCATCCTCCCCGCCGCCGAAGAATTGTATTTGTATAAGTGTATTTTTGTTGCGTTTTATGTGTTTTTTTTGGTAGTAGTGTCCGGAGTCACATCCTACAGTAATACAGTATGGAATAACACAGTAATAAGAGTATAAAGTAGTACAGTAATAATAGTATGGAGTAGTACAGTAATACAACAGAACCTACAATACGAGAAGAAGGAGGAAAAGGAAAAAAATTGATGCTGCCATAGCAGGCTTGACGACGTTGCTAGCCGATGGCGTTGACTATGGATATCTCAATGAATGCGCGGAACCATGCATACCAGCGTTTGTCGATGGATGAATAGTTTGACCAGGTGGACATCGGTACTCCCAGTGCCATCTGTCCGACCGACACCATCGACGCAAGCATGGTTGCGTTGGCAGAGAAGAACATCTCGAATGCACGGCGTGTTCTCAGCTCAAGAGCATGATTCGGTCCTTCATAGATGCCAAGTGCACGCCAGAGTCTGGCGATGTCACTGGCCTCCGACAGCCTCGCGGCAGGCGGGGCGCTACATGCCTGTTCGTCGGTCATCCACATTTCAGAATCAGTCCATGTCGTCATATAGTGGTATCCAGTGATACCCATTGGGGTCCAATATCGAGTTTCTTGATTACATAGCCTCGATTTGCATGTGTCTGCATTTTGGTACCCGTACCACGTCAGATTGTAGTCTTCGTTTGGCCCAGAGAATCGCTTGACGTTGAGCAGCCAGGATCCTTGGTGTGTTCGATCACCCGTCTCTTTTGTTTCGTCAATGGATTGGGCTAACACCCGGTGTGCTGTAGCTGTTACTACCCCGACGGCGATGTCGATGACGTCTTCGACCGCGACGTAATGTTCAAGCATCTTCTGGGCTTGATACCAGACGTCCTCGCCAGGATCTGAAAGAGAATCGGCGGACGGCCAGTCGTTCCAATTGGACCCAGTTAGCGCGGTCAGCAAATTTGGGGCAATGTCGATGGGGATGATGGCGCCACCCTGCTTATGCACTCCAGTGTACGCTGAATTTCCTGGTGGGCCGATGTACAGTCTGTCTGCTGATGACTTTGATGTCGCGTCGATAACGACAAGCAGTACTTTGCGTGGTCCAGGAATATGGAAGAAGTCCGAGTACGGGCCGATGACAGCATCAAACGGATAATCGGCGGTGTACGCCTTTTCCTTTGCGGTCTTCTGGTCGATCAGCCCCATGTTCAGTCTCCCAATGGTGATGTATTTTGAGAGCCCTTGCCATACCCTCGTGTCCAGAAAGCTCATAACGTACAGCCAAAAAGCACTGTCCGTCAATTCGTTTGCAGCGATCGGTATGACACTCACAAGGGCATTGAACGTCGCATTCGAAACGCCGGACCACCCAGTGACGGGCCTGTCTTGCGTTTTGATCGCGATGAACTCGTCGAGTGTGGTCAGTGCCATCTCGATCTTCGGTCTGGAGTACTTCGAGGGCTTCTTGTCCGGTAGGAAACGTTTCCAGCTCAACACTTTCATGTCCGGGAATTGTTGCAGTAGTCGAGGATCTGTCAGCAGATCGACCCCACCGGGCCACGACATTCGCATCAAACAGAGCCCGGCTGGAGCCGCCTCCTCGAAGGACACGCCCGTCACCGCGCTCCGCATCTTGATCAGGTTGAAGATCGCTGCGTTGTCGATTCTCCCGGCTGCTGTTACCAGATTGACCATAGCACCAGACACCTCGCTGGAATCGACGGTGCGCAAGGCCACATCGTATACGTCGCCAAATGCGTACTGGCGACTGGTTGGTGAGTCCTCGACGTCTGAGTGATCGTCACTCGGCATTGAGATACCCAAGGCGGCATGATATGCTCGCCGGTATCGCCGGAAGGTCGTGAAATCCTCAGGATCTGATAGTGCGTTGCACTGGAATGGATGGTTACAGCCGACGCCGAATGTTTTGCCTGGCACAGGATCCCGTATTGTGTTCTTAAGCCAAGCTGCGTCCTTGGAGGCGGCGCAGGATACCGAGGTAATACCCTACGCGCTTCTCTTGCATAGCTCCACGGTACCAGAAAAGACTGTCGTTTGCTAACTTCAAAGCATATTTACACGCACTACTTACAATAATTTGTGGAAATGATAGATGCATAGGAGCCGTAAGCGTTTGTCCCGTACCCAAAAGCAAGTTCAGCATTCGACGTCCATTCGTTGTCCTTGCCCAGTGAGGGAGCTGTCTCACTAACCAAGATGGAGCGATTAGCCGGCCTCCCTCTAGCACTTGCGCATATACGCGCGTTCTATTGACCCCAACAGGCCAGACGATCTTCCTGTCTTGGGCGGGCCGTATGTTTCGGATAGGATACGAAACTACAGGGGTCAGTCGCGTTATGCGGAGCCAATCAAGTGCCCTTCGTGGAGATTCAGATGCGACAAAAGACAGTAGCCGTATATATGGTGAATCGCCAGCAAGAGGTACCTCTTCTTGTCCGGCAAAAGTCAGAGCGTAGATGTTATGCCCACGTGCGGTATCGATGGTTCCCAACCCGCCAAGACCGGAGTCAGTTTGCAACAATTTTTTCCAAACTCTTGAGTCCCAATCAGGATGTTGTGCCCATCTGGCCATGTCCGCTGCGGCTTGCCTAAGCAGCCACTGCCGGGGTATCGGGACTGCCATTCTGCTGATGTACTGCAGCCAAGAGTTAGCGATCTCTCGCGGTCCTGTAAACTGACCCCGATCTATCCAAGGGTTAGCATAGAAGAGCTGGCGCAGTGCAGGTCCCGCCATAAAGCGCAAAGGCCCGCAGCCATAGTGTCGGCGCAAGCAAGTACCTTGAGGCCCAACCAAAGTCTCTTCTTTGCTATAATTCAGTCCGAACTCGTCAATACGTTCGTACAAATCCGGCATGGCATTGTGAACGTGCGAGTACAACATGATGTCATCACCCAACACTATCCATTTAACGTATGGACGATCACGGGTGATGTACTCGCATAGTAGGTGTGAAGCCAGTGTTCCGAATAGCGAAGTAAGACGCCAACCAGAGAGAACCCCTCCCTGCCATCTTCGCCTACTCCCGAACAGTTCAACGTGAGTGTGGTCGAGATCGTCGAGTTCCTCACGTACCAGATCTGACAAGCGCCTGTTTCTGGCTAACTGACCGAAGACGGCTTCGATGTACCAACGAGGTATTTGCTGGTCAAACCTTTAGCATCGATACCGCATACCAGCACGCGTTCACAATGTGTTCATTGAACGGTAAAGTTTCGTCAGAAAGGGGAGATGGTAACCCCGATGGCAACCCGGCAACCTCCATCATATAGCATTGACGCAAGTATGACCGCATCGGTGTGGTTATCACAAGTCTGGTCTTTGTTGGTTCCTCCTTGAGTGCTGCAGCAGCACGCCACCTACCACGCCTGCTCAGGTCGTACGAATCTCTCCCTTCAGCCAATTCCGCCAGCGCCCACGCCCACTTGGATCTTATTTTCTGGCCATTAATGGTCACAGCGGGAGCGCCTCCGGTTGTAGCCCACAACGCTGGATCTGCCACAAACTCCGAGAAGGGAAAAGGATAGGTTGAACCAGCTCTTTCCCACTCGTCTCCAATCAGTTGGAGTCTATGTTCCACCCACTCCCGAATGCCCTCCCCCGACGCCCAGACCTTGCCGTTAGGCCCGACCCATTCGTCTAGAGTGGACAACAGTTCCTGCTCAGTCCAGGAAACGGGTGGCGAACATCTCTCAAGCCCACCCAGTGTACACGCAGATGGGACGCTGGCACAGAGCACCGCTTTCCACTTGCATTGTCAGCTCTTTCAGCACGTAAAATAGTGCATCCTGGACATGGCATCCCTTCCTCTTCGCACAACCCTTGCTCTGCTCGATCAGAGTATTGAGTGCCCAGTGGAGTGATCCCATTAGAGGGTGATCAGGCATTTTCTTTAATGCCGCGAGATGGAAATAAACCGGCCGAGAAAACACCCCGGATCCATAGGGCAGTGCCATCTGCTACGAACGAGGTTGCTGTCATCGTTGTATTTCCGGTGGGGCAGAGTTTCCTCCGCCCATAACCGGCCCACGATAGATCTTATCACGTGGGTTACAGTGCCTTGGGACCTAACCCACAGCTTCTGCCTCGCTGGCAGCTTGTCCCTCCTTCTCCCTCTTGGCTTGCTCGATCTCCTCGTACACCCGGTCTACCTTGCGGCCAGATCGTTCGAGGTGGGTGACGATATCGGGCTTTTTGAGCCCAAGCGCCTTCTCTTGGAGGTAAGATTGGGTCCCAGCGATGGCCCCTGAGATGAGCCCCGACCAGACGTTGCCTGTCGCTAAAAAAGGAATCATATGAGAGGCGGCGTCGATGACCCAGTTGTACCAAGGGTCAAGCAAAGTGGAGTTCAATTCCGCCGTCCAGAACCGCGTATGCGGTGCCTTCGCGATGTGTGTCTCCACCAAAGATTGGGGAGTGTGGAACTCCGTTTGCCTAACAAACGGTATCAGGTAGTTCGCCCCGCTCTACCCAGAGGAATATTGATCGATTAGATGCCTCAGGGATGTCGATAGTCACTAGATCAGCCGGCGTATTCATGGTGTCTGGTATGAGGGACAACACTCGGGCAAGGGTGCTATAAGCACGTACACAGTTGTTGAGGTACACGTCAGTGCCCCATGACACATAGATGTCTTTTGTCCACCAGTCGAGAGCTCGTGGTGGCAAATCGTCGCATGGCAGTTCAACTGTCCACTCGGCCAGGTTTCGCCATTGGTCATACTCACTCCATTTACGTGAAGTGACTGCTGTACGGCCTGACTCCCAGTCTTGGACCAGATGGTCGTCGATGTGTGGCATATCCACGAGCTGCCACGCTCCCTCGATCTTCTCGAACCACCATCGCACCAGCCATGCGGGCAGGCATTAGACAAAGGTTGGCCTCTCGGTGACGTTGAGAGCTGCGGTGGTTGACATGGTAGTTGTACGGTTTCCTGATTGCCATGTTGCGTTATCTAACCACGATGCCATCATCTTTGCGATCTGATCGGCGGTGATGGTTGGTGGAACTATAATGGCGTTGAATGTGCATCGGTGGTTCAGTGGTAGAATGCTCGCCTGCCACGTGGGCGGCCCGGGTTCGATTCCCGGCCGAGCACCATGTTTTGAACTGCATCACTGTTCAAATGAGGTTTTGGTGGTACATGTTTATTGATAACACATAGCGCATACAACGTGACTACAATCATCAAAACTACAAGCATAAACATATGAGGTTAAGCTACTAGTATATTCGTGTCAAGTGCAAGTTAAGTTGTGTTGTCTTGTGTTCTTCTTCAGGCGATAGCGGGTCCGCAGTGTCTTGGGTCTCGTCTCTTGAGTAGGCGCATCGTGTTCGTTCTCATTTCTGTGTGCTCGTAGTGTTCGGGTAGAAGTGTGGAGCTGCGGAAGCAGCGAAACTGCAAGGAGAAATTGTGAAGAACTGCGGAGAGAAAAGGAACTGACTGCGAAGAGGGAACTGACCGAACTGCCTGGCGGCACTCCGCGCTCTGCCTTTATAGCCCTGATTATGGGCGGTATAAATACTGGCTGAGGTGGGCGGTGCCAAGGCCTCCTATTGGTTGGTTGTAGGCGGTGAGCGAACTTTCTAGAAAGTGTGCATTTGCGACCCGTGCATCCTAGTCATCATGACCAAGGGTCATGACAACCACCGTCTTATACCACGACAAACGCCGTCGCAATGTTGAGAAGAGACACCTATTTTCAGTGCAGTCCAGATACTCATGAGCTGGAAATCAGGATGCCAAGGCTCCTGAAACATGTTTCAGGAGCCTTGGCATCCTGATTCAAGTGATTGCACAGGCGGAGCTATTTATCCGAACGAATGGACAAGTAATGCCTCCGATCTCCTTATCGTTCATCTGACATCCTTCAAAATGCATGCTCTAGGAAGCATATCCTCCCGCATGTCAGAACAGTGAAACGTGCTGCAGAACTCCGTCCAATACAATGAACTCGGCGCGACGGTAATAAACTTATTTCAAAATAAAAGAGCGCGAGTGATGTCGTCCTTTACAAGAAGGTCAATGAATGGGCCCGAGAATGTTAGCAGTTGCAGTCCTGATACTATCGGCAAAAGTACTACTTCAATTGGACTCATTTGTTTTAAAGCACGAGATCCGAACGAAGCTTTCATCTACTGAAATTTTGCGATTCTTAAGAAGGTGATCGGTGAATAGCAGGAATAATCGATGATTGAAATCAGCTGGAATCGATGAAACTTCAGCAAAAAGTTTATTACTGAAGTCGGTGAACTCGAGCGAATAGGTATGAAGAGTCAGCAGTGGAAATCGGGTAAAACGATTGACCCTTATCAAGGATGAGTGATCGTTAAAGTATCAGACTGAAGGGTAGCTAAGCCTCAATCCGATCTGTGTAGCGGTATAGAATAAGAACATCAGTCTTTATATATGTTTATTCGTATTAAGCAGGAGTCAACATAAGGGAGGAAGCATAAGTGGCAGGGCAAGGCCAGCGGCCAGTCGGAGGCTGCTGCCAGCCAGAGGCAGCCAACCATAAATGGTCTCTCTCCGAGCGAGGCTCTTAAATAGCCTCTGTGTGATTGCGTCATCCAGCGAGTGAGTCGACGTGGGTGGCTCCGTCAGCCGAAGCCGGCTATGATAGGGTCTTCGGTCTGACTCATCCATATGACATCTCCATTCGATCGATAAGCTCGTCCTCGAGCTTTGACTTAGGTTGCTCGGGTGTGCAGATTTTTGCACCGAGTGAACTTTGACAGAGCACGATTGATAGTTTATGAAGATATACATAGTGACAGATAATGTGTTGTATTCACACAATGTTATCGCATCTAGAAGTGGAGTGGTTTCGTGGCCACTACCTGACTTGTCGAATCAGCAATTATACACAGAGAGAGCCATTATACGAGAGGAGGCTCCTGAGCCTCAGGAGTCTTCTCAGACATGTACTAGCACACCATCTTCTTTTCCTCGAGACCCACACCTTTCCAATCTTTGTCCTTAACAACCATATAATGGTGCAGCATGAACTCACCCCCACTCTTCATAATCAGGAATTCTGGTGCTGGTTGTAAATAAGGTACCACCAGTCTCACTGCGAGTGAGATTCCACAACCACGAATGAAGAACAGAAGACAAACTACGCGAATCATCATCAGAATCACTATATTTTAGATCGCACTCTTCACTGTAAAATATTTTTTTAAGGAGGCCACTACTTTGGAAAATAGTGAACGTGAACAATTTCGGCTATCGTTTTGAATGTCATCCAAAAACTTTTGCAAAACTTTCCCACTATCATACTTTTGTTTATACACCTCAATATAAATAGCAAATGCAAGCATCATATTCTGCTCATGCGTAAGCGGTTCATGTCGCAATATTATATCAGACCCCATGAAGATACCCCCAAATAAGCGTGAATAAAAGCGAAAAGTTCCAAAGGTGACTTATTCTCAGTTTGCATCATTGCCTGCGACATAACTTTGTCAACCAGTTTTGTGTCAACGATACAACTGATAGTAGGCATTGTACATTTAGACGACTTTGACGCTATTTTGTTATAATCGAAACGATGAAAACGAACAATAGTTTTACCCCGAAAAGACTCTAACCACAAGTTGTGCTGCAAAGACTCAATCGGAACGTCTAAAGGAATCTCCACTACTTTGAGAAATTGGATTCCCCCCCCCTATTTTCAAGCATTTCTATAAGATACTGTTTATGAAAATCGCTACTATAGAAAAAATGCTTTTTTACATAAGCAATATAGAAAGTAAAACGATGGACATAACTAAAAGAAGAACAACCAATAAAAGAAAAAGTAATCGTGTCGGCTTCTTCATCTACTCGTACCGAATGTCATACAGATGAGTCAGAGTGCAGTGTAGTTGAATATATAGTGGTCGAGTACAGAATAATAATATCTCTAGTAGTAAACGCGGTAGAATATGAATAAGTCTTAGAGAATAAAATAAATATCACAGGAGATAGCAATAAAGAAACAGAACAATACCACAACAAATAGACGCCATCGGAGAATCCGTGCAGTTCCAGCGCGTCTCACTATTGATCAATCACGAAACAAAACAGAACCCCAACAATAGCGTGCCTCACAATAGCAGGTGAGATTACGCTGACGGCGTCCATTTGACTAGAATAGTGCTACTAATACTTTTCGCAATGTCTTTAAAGCTTATGCAGTGATTAAAAGAACACGGTGGCATGCAGCGGCGCTTTCTGGCGCTATCACAGAAGAGTAATATTATGTGGTACTCGTAACCGTTGTCGCCATTTACACTTCTCGCTGGCGGAATATTGCGCTGTTCACCGAAAAAGTTATCGGTAGAATGTGCAGCAGAAACACTAACGCTACCACGTCAGTTAAAAGTCAGTCAATGCGATCGTACAGTGTACACCATGTTCATGCACAATTAGGAAGAGTTTCAGCCGACGTTCCGTAAAAACTTTCGTCACACATAAAATTCGTATTTCGAGGCTGACCACCTAGTTTCTTCTGCATAGCTGTGCATAGCTCACACTTCATATTCAATGCTGGAGAAAAATCGCGATGGAGGATTGGAAATTAACATCAGCAACCCTTGACCGCTCTTTTAAATCGGGCATTGGCTTTTAACCAGCATGAAGAACGTGTGAAAAAGAATGTCATTTTATGCACGTCTGCCTTTAACAAAGCTAAATAACATACGGTTGGTATTGAACACGCCTCAAAGCCTTCCGTATCTTGGGGGAAAGAGTGTTAGGTCTAGCTGCGTTTTTCAACCCTTTACTCATAGTGCACGTTGGAATTTCTCTGTTCATTCTATACTCCTACCACCCCATTTTGCAAAAATCAGGCTAGATTTCCGTCAAAGCTTGTTCTTAATTGTGAATTTGGCCAAAAGTATATCCCATGTGTTTTGACCTCTCAAACCCTAATGAATGGTAGCTGGCGTCCACTCGAGGCTGAGGTAGGGATATTTCATCGATGTCACAGGAATTTTGGGACAGAAAGAGAAACTAAAAGCTGTCCGACTGATGAACACTTGTTTCATATACCTATGGTTATTTACTTGTTGATTGAGGTTTTCGATGACTTAACAAATGCCCAATCCAAAATTGCCTTCTGACTTCCAAAGACTATTTTCCACTAGCGGTGTGGTTGCGATCGTTTGCCAGCGCTTCCGGGCAAGCGTGAAGCGATTTGATGACCGCTTGACTAACTGCAGTCTTTCTTTCATCAGCAACTG